GATCAGTTTTAATGATTATTCCTGCTCAAACACTGTTATGTTTCTTTTACAACGTTGCTTATAATTTGCTGTAACTGCTGAATTTCCTGCCAGCTATACAGCATTTATGTCACCACATTTATGTAACACAACACAGTGATGTATTAGTCATAATTAGTCTGTTCTAGGTCACTTCTTAAATAACCACATGGAAGCAAGATGATTTAATATTGTACACATGATAAATGTTTCTGTATACTGTGTGTGTTTTTGTTTTGAATAAATGTACAAACATCACTGACCAATTTTTACAAATATCGTGCAAAATGCTATAAAATAACATGTAATTAGGACAGTGTAATGGGAATGCTTCATTTCTAATGTGCCTTCTGGTTATGAGATCAGTGCTATACAATCTGTGTTTTTTGGTTATCAGATCAGTGCTATATAATGTGTCCTCTGGTTATCAGATCAGTGCTATATAATGTGTCCTATGGTTATTAGATCAGTGCTATACAATCTGTGTTTTTTGGTTATCAGATCAGTGCTATATAATGTGTCCTCTGGTTATTAGATAAGTGCTATATAATGTGTCTCCTGTCCTGGTTATCAGATCAGTGCTATGTAATGCGTGTTCCATGGTTATTAGGACAGTGCTATATAATGTGTCCCCTGGTTATCAAAACAGTGCTATATAATGTCCCATGGTCATTAGATCAGTGCTATGTAATTCGTGTTCCCTGGTTATTAGGACAGTGCTACATGTGTCCCCTGGTTATCAGATCAGTGCTATATAATGTGTGTCCCCTGGTTATCAGATCAGTGCTATGTAATGTGTGTCCCCTGGTTATCAGATCAGTGCTATGTAATGCGTGTTCCCTGGTTATTAGGACAGTGCTATATAATGTGTCCCCTGGTTATCAGATCAGTGCTATATAATGTGTGTCCCCTGGTCATTAGATCAGTGCTATATAATGTGTGTCCCCTGGTCATTAGATCAGTGCTATATAATGTGTGTTCCTTGGTTATCAGATCAGTGCTATATAATGTGTGTCCCCTGGTTATCAGATCAGTGCTATATAATGTGTGTTCCCTGGTTATTAGATCAGTTCTATATAATGTGTGACCTCCTGGTTATCAGATCAGTGCTGTATAATGTGTGTTCCCTGGTTATCAGATCAGTGATGTGTGTTTGTACTCTAGTTATTAGATCTGTGCTATTTAATATGTGATATAATGAAAAAATAAAATGCAACAGTTTGTGTATTTAAAGGATCACTATAGGCACCCAGACCACTTCAGCTCAATGAAGTGGTCTGGGTACCAGGTCCCCCTAGTTTTAACTCTGCAGCTGAAAACATAGCAGTTTCAGAATTTGCAGGGTTTACATTGCAGGGTTAATCCAGGCTCTAGTTGCTGTCTCCCTGAGTAAATCGCACTTATTTGACGCTGGACATCCTCACTGACCTCCAGCGTCAAAAAAGATCTCCATAGGAAAGCATTGAGTAGTGCTTTCCTATGGGCTGGTTTTGAATGCGCTCGCACCTCTGGCCGCGCATTCACATTCGGATCCACTTGGGAGCTGACGTCGATGGAGAAGGAAAGGTCACCAGCGCCGAGGGAGCCCGGCGCTGGATTAAGGTAAGCAAATTAATGGTTAACTAACCATTTATTCAGAACAGGGCCCTAGTCACCATTTAGGTTTTATAGCATTTGGAATAAATATTTGTATTCCCAACGCTATAGTGTTCCTTTAAGGGTTGTGCATGGTGAAATAGCATTGGTAACAAGATAACTCTTTGTAGTATATATTTATTTTTGCCCACTGCTAGTTTATCAGACTCTTACCTACCAAAAACTTTTTCTTTGCTGTGAGCTTTAAGTCTTGCAAGGTTAATAAGACCAGAGGTGACGCATAAAGAATTATAATATATATATATTTTTCATCAAACTAGTTTCCAGTTATTGACACCAGGGTAAACAGATAAAATGTTAATGATTTTTCTCAGCAGAGTGACAGAGTCCTAAACACATGCATTTTAGAACAAAAAGAGTGACTGTATTCAAAGTGTTTTATAATAATTTTGATGCAATAGGGAGTAAGTTAACCATTGCTGCCCATACACAAAGACCTGCAGTAGTGTTCTCACATTGACCATGACATCCTGCAATGATTAGGGAAGTGCTTGCTCTCTTCTTTTTCCAGACATTCACTGCCATCTTCAGAAATGGAATACCAGAAATAAAATAAAAAACAATCCAAGAAGTGGTCTGGAATAGGGATTCCCCAAATAAATCCGGGACTGTTGGGATTTCGAAGAACTACATATAAATACATGTTCTAGTTAATTCATGTATCTTTACACACACAACATTACTATGACTACCTCCTTTTGTAAGAGGAAATTTTAGAGGTAACAGTGGAAACACACATTTGCTGAGCTATGATCATGCCAAATCATACAGTGTAGAGTAGAAAATGTTCTTCATTTGTTCCAGAAGATTATGCTGTTTGCACTGCTTAGTATAAATATAAGGCAACATATTTTTCAGTTTTTCCTTCTGTTACACAATAATTTCCTGTTTGGTGCACCTGCCGTTCATTGCATGGGGATTATTCACGTTAGTTAGAACAAAGATTGCAGTGGGCAGAATTAACGATAGATTTTTTTTTTTTTGATAGATGCCAGAATTATCATGATATAAAGTGATCTACGTTATCCCGTGTCTTAAAGTAGTTCATGTCTACCTATAGCCAGTTGGTACAAATATAATACACCATTTGCAGTCACCTAAGTCTCTGTTCTTTTTTTGTACAGGCAGCATTGCATTTTTGGTGCCCTTCACAGATGCTCCTAACACAGAAACCTATTGTTTTTCTCGACAATTCACCAGAAAACCAAAATGGGTAAAATAAAATGCCCTTTCTATAATTGTATATTTTCCTGGAATGGAAAGTACAGGAAGATACAAGTTTAGACTTTGTTTCTGCCAAGAGAAAGTGATCATTTCTGACACTCTGTTCCCGGACTCTGTCTGCTGTGTACTGTAGGTCTAGTCCCTAAAACAAGCGTGTAATTTCCAAATCGCAAAGTATGCTACATTTCCCATTTCACATGCACATTTCAGCTGGATGTCCACATATTTCTCACGGTATTAAAAACACTTCCTTGCTGTGTTATTAATAATGCAGGCTTGGTTTCTGCATTTTTAATGTTTGAGTAACATTATAAACAGAGACTCATTGACTTGCGTTTTATAGAAAAAAAAGAAAAGAAATACTTTGCAACACAATAGTGAATCTTTAACTTTAAAAAATAGTTAAACTAAAGGCTGAGAGATTAGAAAGAGCCTTAAGAAGAATTTGGATGATGGCTGTTGAAGAGACAATCCTAGCCACTGGAATATTGCTGTTTTTTGAAGTGGTTATGTTGCAAGGTCTATGTCCTCCACTCTCACCTTTTTAAGAGTTTCCTACTTTCTTCTTATATTTTAAAATGCCCAGCTTTGTAGCTGCCAGGCCCTCTGGCTTATGATTTAATTCGAGATGTTTGTAAGGTGTGGGCATACAATACATGGTTACACCAAGCAAGTTAGCTGCTACATTGCCGCGAGCTGTGGTATGAACACATAGATTCCCCTCCCCTCCCCCCCATATTTTTTTTTCCTTTTCCTTTTCTAGATAAGATCTACTTTTCTTCATTGAGCAGATGGCCATGCCATACAGATGCTTGTATGGACAAACGAGGAAGCAATGCTTACTCAAATGCCAGGAGGTGGAGTTACAACACTAAATATTTTTATATATAGGAAAAAAATAGATCTTTTTAAAATGTAAATGTAAAGGTAGGTCATTGCACCACAACAAATAGGGCTGGTGCTTAGAATGTGACATGTTAAGGTGAGTTGTGTAAGTATTGAAGGTGTATCCCATTAGAAGGTTAGGACTGTAATCTGTGGACAAGATATAAAAAAGAGGATGTGTGGACAAGATATTAGAAAGACAATTTCAGAGTGAAATTGAAAAATACATTGCAGCCACTATAATGGTTCTCTTTTGCGTTGCTCAACTCACATTTAAAAGAGTTCTGCCCCTCTCGATGGGACCTTAATATTTCCATATCTGACTGCTTCATTAACTTTATACTGTGGTATGAATTACCAAAGACATGGAGTTGGAGTTGTGGAGTGAATGTAAAGAGGCCAGCATTTTGTTTTTTGACTTTGAAAATGTAAATATCACCAAAGATCATTAAACTAGTGTTTAAATTTTTATTTTTTTCTGGGCAGCACAATTCAATGGTTAATGGAGATTCTTGGTATTTTATCCAGCACAGTTATAGGGATCATGGAGCAGTAGTATTGAATTAATAAACAACGGATGTATAGAAAAAAAAAATGCTTTTGTTGTGTGTATCTGGAGGGGGTAGGGGATAGTGAAGGATTGATAACTTTCTCCATAAAGCCCTAACCTCCTGCCTAAAAATAAAGCAGAGGACATTTTTAATAAAAATTTGGAATGGGGAATAACGAAAATATAAGTCCCAACTAGAAACTGCATGTTGCTGGATTTATAGCAAGCTAATGGAAATTGAGTTTGTCATTAGCATTGTGCTCTGATGATGTTTTCTCAGGTGTGAAAACCTGCACACACACACACACACACACAAACAAACTAACTAGTCCTAGCACAAATTGACAGTGCACACACAACACATGTAAAAATGCCCTGAGCACCAAGGTCATTCACTGTAGTGGTATAGCACACAGAAGACATACCGGTACTTAAACCATTCATAGAGTTCTCAGTTCTGAAAAACTTCCTTCCATTCCTTTGCCACCCTTCGCTCTCTCTTCTCCTTCCTTACATCCGTGTCTTTCTTATTTCTTCAAAGTGTTTCTACCTCAAAAGACTTCTATCTCCCCTAAAAGAAAGACCTCTCCTGTGCTTGGTCCTATGTTTCATAGTTCTATAATTATGCTTTTATCTTTACCATTACAGTGGGAAAATGAGCTTGAAAATGAACGACAAAAATACGTGTTGAAACTTGAGGAAGTAGAACATAATTTAAGAGAAGAAGCAAATCTGGAACTAGATATTGAACGGCAAAAGCATGATGAATTAATAAGGAAATTCCAAAAACGTCAAGATGAACTAGAAGGGAAGGTTTGTAGTTTGCAAACAAATTAACCCAATAAGGACACCACTTCCATTTGCTTATTTTGTACTTAAGGACCAAAGCAATTTTGTCATTTTTGCTGTGTGTGTTCAACCGCAACCATTCTCATTACAGACAGACTATATCTGAAGCATATCAGACTGGTCCCATCCGTATGGGCAGTCCAGATCCGAAATGTTAGCAAGTTCCCTCTGCATGAGAGATACAGCAAACCCAGACAGTCGTTTTGGCCTTCTTTTGGGCCTCATTAGTGAGGTGTAGCTGATATCCCTCTAAGCACAGTGAGCACGGGGTCCACGTCTGGATTACCCTTTTAACTTGGGGTGAGCCAAGTTAATGCATTAAAGCAAAATAGAAGAAAAGGCTAGTTTATTCAGTTTATTTTTGGTAGCTACAGCTCACAAAATAACAAGGAGTAAAAAAAAATAAATTCAATTTGGAACTAATTTAGAATTTGATGTGTTTGTCTTCTAAGTTTAATAGCCATCACAGAAAACAAAATTGCTGTACAAAAATATATATTGAAATAAAGTCGACATCACAGGCTATTTGCCTTAGGGTTTTTTTGACACTATTTTAGTTAGCCATTTAACTGACAATATGTGCTAAATATTATAGTAAGATTGCCTTTTCTCAGATTTTTAACATAACACATTTATAACAACTGTTTTAATGTATATTTCACAAACCTGATGTGTGCTATTTTTGTACAAAACTCAATATTGTGTTCAGCTACATTGTCTGGATACAATACCCCCAATGTATGCCATTGTCACTATCATGTCCAGGGATCTCATGTGGTGTATATTGTACCTTGATGTGCTGCAATTTTTCACCAGGTTATGTCCAAGTGGTAAAATTGTGTTTGTTTTTTTCATATTTACATACACATTTAAATTTTTAAGGGCATTTGGCAAATCAGATATGTGCCACCATGATAACCCCCTTTCAAATGATGCTTTCAGCATACTCTTCTGAATGAAACAGTACCCACACTATACCTCTCTGAAAATATCTTGTGAAGCTTTGGTGCCTTATAAGAGATCTGACATTTTCAGTTTTTACAGTTAGAATTTTGAAAGAGTGAACTGTTCCAATTTTGGGACATTGTAGCAGTTTGACAGTTAACCCATAAAAAATAGACCTCACGGTGTGTATTAAACAGTATATTTTGATGTTACTGTAACAAAAATGTCTAAATTGTGCTCAGCCGTGTCTTCTGAGCACAGAATGCCCCCTTTTGCATACCCTTGTCGGGGCTCAATTTATAACATGCCCAATACAGTTTTTTTTAAATTGCAAATTAAAGGTGGTGCATTTTTGGAACATTTTAGTAGCTCACATATTTAAATTACTCTATAAATGCATACTATATGCAAAAAGAGGTTCTATTTTTCCACTTTGTGGTATTATTATAATTCATTATTTACATAAACTATATTAAAAATTTATAATTTTCATATATACATTGTATTTTGCTGCTAATGTTTTAAATATCATGTGTGCCACTGTAATAAAATTATCTTAACTGTACTCGGCAACATCTCCTGAGTACAACAAAAACCCACATGTATAGCATTTCAAAATGTCTATCCTAATCCTATCTCTAATACTAAACCTAATACTAAATCTAACCCCAGGCCTAAACCTCCGCCTAATCCTAATCCAAACCCTAACCCTATGCATAACCCTAATCTTAACCTTAATTCTTATCTTAATCATAATTCTAGCAATAGTGTTAGAAGGATTCCCTCTGTTGATGTCAACAGAGGCTGTGCCTTGTTGTTTTCAACAGATAGATTTCATTGCTGGCCCTAATCCTAAACCCAATTCTAATCCTAACCCTTAATCCTATCATATTTCCAAGGATTTTCCTGTGCTAATATCAATACTGATATTAGCAAACATAATTCTAAACTAAAACAGTAGATAGGTTGCCAACTTCCACTGGCTTGGACCCTTGTCATTCTGAAAAGCTGTCAATTTGCCATTACACTCTGATTGGACAGGAGACCCTATCAGAGGCTGTTTAGACCTTACGGGTCTCCCTTTAGGGCTGGACTGGCCCACTGGGATACAGGGGAATTTCACGGTGGGCTGGTGGACTTTGGGCCGCAGTGCAGCACCTGACATATTTATTTTTTCCTCCTCTGAGTTTTTGTTTGGGGGCTGGAGCAGACAATTACCTAGGTGGCTGGTACGCATACAGAGGTGGCAGCCAGCTGCAGCAGGGAGGAGAGAGAGTCTCTCATACATTGCCAGCTTCTCTGCACGGCCAGTCTGGTTCCAGCCAACCCCTGCACTGGAGATCCGCCCCCCCAGCCTCAGCCTGGTGAACTTTCACACAGGAAAAGGAAGTACAGGACGCACCTCAAGAAGGATCCACACTGCCAGTGACAGTTAATTGTATGATTGATGCTAAATCTGTAGTGTGCTTCTGTTTGTCAGTGAGCTTGTGTGTGTGTCAGTGAGCTTGTAGTGTGCTTGTGTGTGTATCAGTGCGCTTGTAGTGTGCTTGTGTGTATTGGTGAGCTTGTAGTAAGCGTGTGTGTATCTGCTAGCTTGTGTGCTTGTGTGTGTCAGTGAGCTTGTAGTTTGCTTGTGTGTGTGTCAGTGAGCTTGTAGTGTGCTTGTGTGTGTGTCAGTGAGCTTATAGTGTGATTGTGTGTTTCAGTGAGCTTCTAATGTGCTTGAGTGTGTCAGTGAGCTTTTAGTAAGCTTGTGTGTATCAGTGAGCTTGTAGTGTGCTTGTGTGTGTATCAGTGAGCTTGTAGTGTGCTTGTGTGTGTATTCGTGAGCTTGTAGTGTGTTTGTTAGTGAGCTTGTAGTGTGTTTGTCAGTGAGCTTGTAGTGTGCTTGTGTGTATCAGTGAACTTGTAGTGTGCTTGTGTGTGTGTCAGTGTGTTTGTAGTATGCTTGAGTGTATCAGTGGGCTTGTAGTGTGTGTCAGTGAGCTTGTAGTGTTTTTCTGTTTTTCAGTGAGCTTGTAGTATGCTTGTGTGTGTCAGTGAGCTTGTAATAAGCTTGTGTGTATTATTGAGCATGTAGTGTGCTTGTGTGTGTGTCAGTGAGCTTGTAGTGAGCTTGTGTGTGTCTGTGAGCTAGTAGTGTGGTTTAGTTTGTCAGTAAGCTTGTAGTAAGCTTGTGTGCATCAGTGAGCTTGTAGTGAGCTTGTGTGTCTCAGTGAGCTAGTAGTGTGCTTGTGTGTGTCTGTGAGCTAGTAGTGTGGTTGTGTATATAAGTGAGCTTGTAGTGGGATTGTGTGTATCAGTGAGCTTGCCTGTAATAAGCTTGTGTGTGTGTCAGTAAGTTTGTCTGTTGTGAGCTTGTGTGTGTTTGTGTGCTTGTCTGCAGTGAGCTTGTGTGTGTCAGTGATCTTGCCTATAGTAAGCTTGTGTGGGTCAGAGAGCTTCTGTGTTTTAGGGAGCTTGTGTGGGTCAGTGAGCTTGCCTGTAGTAAGCTTGCGTGGGTCAGTGAGCTTGCCTGTAGTAAGCTTGAGTGTGTCAGTAAGCTTGTCTGTTGTGAGCTTGTGTATGGGGCAGGGAGTTTGTGTGTGTTGGTGTGCTAGTCTGTAGTGATCTTGTGTGTGTCAGTGAGCTTGCCTGTAGTATGCTTGCGTGAGTCAGAGAACTTGTGTGTGTCAGTGAGCTTGTGTGGGTTAGAGCACTTCTGTGTTTGTTATTAGTGAGCTTGTGTGGGTCAGAGAGGTTGTGTGTGTTGTGAGCTTGTCTGTAGTGAGCTTGTGTTTGTCACTGAGTTTGTCTGTAGCGTGCTTGAGTGAATGTTTGTCAGTGTACATGTGTGCGGCAGTAAGTTTGTCTGTAGTGAGCTTGTGCATGGGTCAGAGAACATTTGTGTACCGGTGAGCTTGTTTGTGTCAGTGAGCCTGTCCGTAGTGATCTTGTCTGTATGTGTGTGCCATTGAACTAGTGTGATTTATTAATGTGGAACATCGGTGTCTTGAGGAAAGTTCACAACTGTGAACTGAAACGTTGACCACTTGGATTAAATGCCTATATCTTTTCACGTTGAAGTCCTTGAGTGCTAGCTTTCTTTCTGGAGGTTATATTTATGTGCAGCTGCACACCGGGCCACAACTTAGAGGAGAGCTGGAGTGCAAAACTCCCATCGAATTGTATGTGTGTATGTATTTATTTATTTATTTATATATATATATATATTTGCTGAAATTATACACTGACACACTGATGTCGACATATGTTGATATCGGCATGGGAGGATTGTCTTTAAAGAATTGTCTGTCCCCAAGCAGGGCCAATCACAACAGACAGGGGGCAGCTGGGGTGAGGGGTTGCAGGTAAGACAAAATTCTTCCGAAGCACATACATATAAAAAATACAAGCATACTATGTGACACAATCTGTGACTGAATGATTCTGCCACAAGTTAAATGGTTAATAAAACTATTTTCAATAATTTTTTCCCCCTTTTTGGCAATCTGAGAGCTTGGAGCATTTTAGTCACTTTCTAGTATTAGTGTACAGTATTCTATTAAGTTTAAAAAATGTAATATTGCGTAACATTTGGAGTTTTATGTAGTCTAACCTAGAAACATTCTGAGCATTAATAAAAAAAAATTAATTTCTACTTCAATCTAAATAATAATAAGAATGTATACTTGCACTCATATAGACAAGAACAAAGGTTAAGCTTTTTGCACTACAAATTGTTTATATTCTATCAAGTTTATTTAGAGCAATTAATCTTTCTACAAAGTGACATTTATTGATTCTTCTATATAACTCAAGAATGTATCCCTATTGTCAAAAATGGAAAAACAGCTCTAATAATAGTATTTCTTGAAAAGACTGGATTGCGTGCCTACACAACCTGTGTCATAATTTGTAATTATCGAGTTTCAGCCAAATGATGAAGCATAAATAACAAAAAGCACAAGACAGATCTATTCCAATATGCTAGCGGAAATATTATCATACATATTGCAGAGCAGAGTTGCCAATTTCTATATTGCCATCTGATGAAACAGGCTTTAATCCATAATCATCACCACATATGGAAATCTGGTTTAAATGGTAGAAACAAAGCCATAAATGAATATTTAGTTTTCACATTTAATAGGACTTTGCCAAATCTAAAAGAAATACATTTTATGGCTGCCAATAATGTCTGCTTGCAAATATCCTGACCAGTTTTGGATTAACCACTTGCTATGTAGTAGCACAAAAACACATGCGTTGTGTTTGTGACCATAACAACCTCAACTAAAAATGTTCACCCTTATGGTACATACTAAACTCTGTGATTGGTCTTAGCAGGAGTGGAGGTGAATATAATGTATTAAGCTGTAATTGTGTTTGCCATGCCAGATACATATCCATATAACCGTTAAGGTTTATTTCTGCTATGAGAATTGGTCATTTAAATGATTTTTCATCATGTGTCTGACATTTTCTTTAATATTACTGCTCTTTTTTTTTCAAAATTCAAAAATATGTTTTATTTAATTTGCTCTAATTCGTTGTTGGTATTCATGCTGTGACTGCACAGTATTATAAACAACCCATCAGAATGATGCAGTTTCATGAGCTACCCCATGATATGTGCTTTAGGGTTTCATATTAATGCTTACACGTAGATTTTTATAGGATGTGTGGGGGGGTTGGTATTGTTAAAGGGACACTCCAGGCACCCAGACGACTTCTGCCTATTGGAGTGGTCTGGGTGCCAACTCCCACTACCCTTAACCCTGCAACTGTAAATATTGCAGTTTTCATAAACTGCAATATTTACCTCGCAGGGTTAACACCTCCTCTAGTGGCTGTCTGCTAGACAGCCACTAGAGGGCACTTCCGGGTTTCTAGCACAGTTTTGCTATAGCGTTGCTGGACGTCCTCACGCTATGTGAGGACCTCCAGCGCTGCTAAAATCCCCGTAGGAAAGCATTGAAAGCATTTTTCAATGCTTTCCTATGGGGATGTTTAATGCGCATGCACAATCGGTCTCCCCCGATGGGAATCCAGCACGAACCACCTCTTTCATCCCCCCGTATGAGAGGGAAATTAGAAACCAACACCTAACTGTTCGTGTCAATAGGGGCACAGATGCCCAAATATCTCTGCTCTGCAATTTTCTCACATCTTAAGTTTCATTTTTGCTTTTGTTATAGCTGTTAACCATTTTTCTTTGTTACATATTAACATATACTGTATAACCGGACCTCTGTGCTCCTGACACACTTACCAGTCACCGACTGCCTTATACACTTTTGGGAGTTAGGCTCACTTCCACTAACATAAACACAGACCAATGATGCTCCCACCCTCCTCTCCCTCCCCGGCTTCTCTGGTTAGGGGAAGAGATGTCGCGAACGGCTCGCCGCGGTTCGCCACGAACCGTTCGCGACATCTCTAGTTAGGGGCTGTAAGCTCATTGCCATGAGACATTCGGCTTCCCGCCACACTGACAAGCACATGCTACCTCATACTAAAGCTGTGTTATCTGAGAATTGTTCTTACTTTTCTATGACGTTGCATACCTGTCATGAAAGCTTTCTATCTGTCTGTAACACTTAACTCAATCGCCTCAATAAAGAAAGTATTGTAAAAAATGTTATAAAACCAAGGCAACCGCAGCTCATGGAATAGAAGTTAAATTATTTTATTTATTTATTTATTTATTTATTTTTTAAAGTAGCGACCAGATTAACAATAGGACCTTAGATTGTAAATTTGTTTAAGCGGGACCGTCTTCATAGCTTATATAAGTCAACATAATTAAATCTAGCGCACTCCCTTAACAAAATCTGTCAGCACCGAAGTTGCTGTTTAGTGGATAAGGGAGTGTGCTGTATTTTCTTTTTTATTGTATAAATTGGCTCCCATCAGCACCCTATTTATGCATGTTCAGGTGAGTGCAGCCAGCCCCCTGTTTTCTCATATAAACATAATTAAATGTGTCATTTAGTTGCTGTTATTTATCCCCATTGTGTGATTGTAAAGCATTGCGGAACATGTTGGCGCTATAATAATGCTATTAATAATAATATAAATTGCCTTTTGCACAATTAAACAGATACCCAGCCTGATATCCAAGGCCTGTGATGAACTCAATAAAGACATTCAGTTGCTAGAAAATAAATTGAAAGAGACTCAGACCAGGCTCACCGATAAAGATCACACAAAAGAAAATGAAATTAGCAACCTGAAAAATATTATTACAGATCTGGAACACCGCCTAAAAAGGGAGCAAAATAACAATAACACTATTCTAAAGGAAATGAGGAAAGATTGTTTTACAAAGTCAGAAGTACTTAAAGAAGTCACTCAACAAGTAGAAGAGTTAAAAAGGCACTTGGACTCTGCAATGCAAGAGGTACGTAAAAATGTATAGTAAAGGGAAAAATGCCTTGGGCTCCATGGCATGGTTTGCGTAAAGAAAAAGAAAGCAATCATGAATAAGGTGATAACTCCCCCACTCTGCATAAAACGACAATGTGTAAAATATATATGTATATGTAGGGCTCAAAATATCCACATGCTGCTAGCAATTGGCAAGTTGGTAGAATTTTACCCCTGTGAGTGTGCCATGGACCATCCACATAAAGTGGCAATTAACTTTTAGGACCTGCTTAGCTAATCAAAAAAATAAATAAAAAAATCCCTAATTTAAGGGCATGCTTCACAGCTGACCTCCATAGAGACTGCACAAATGCTCGTCTGACAGCTTCAGTACAGTATTCTCAGGTGTTCTTACCCCACGTGCTCTGCCAGTGTTTTCTTTAATGCAGACCCTGTTTGGCAAAATTTGAACCCACAGCATTATTGCGTTCCTGCTCAGAAACTCACATTCCAATCAATCTAGAAATGCATTTGGTAAAAGCCGTAATGTTTTAATGACAAATTCATTATGCTGAAAAAAGCTCTATATAACAAAGGCATGATGCTCTGGTCCATAAAATGCTTGCCATACAAATGCCATAGACCGCACTAGTTATTGGTATTCCCGCTTCTCATCCTCCACCAATATAATCCAACATCACAAAATAGTCAGGTTGTTCTGCCGGAACCAGTTACCTCTATGCCAGGGCTGTCCAACCTGCGGCCCCCCAGATGTTGCTGAACTTCAACTCCCATGATTTCCTGGCTATCTGTTTCATTGAAAGAATCATGGGAGTTGTAGTTCAGCAACATCTAAGGGGCCGCAGGTTGGACATGCCTGCTCTGTGCTATGGAGCAGCCATATTTAGCCCTCTTTGGTCAATCGTACCACTTATCTGCCAAAACCATGCACAAATGGAAGGTTTAAAACCGTCCCAAAGCACAGTTTTGCAATACTTTGCATTTGCACATTGGCAGGATTTGTGAAAGAGGATTAGCTGCACAATATAATTTGGAAAAGCCATGCTTCCGACCAAACCAGAGTTAAATATGGCTTCCCCATAGAGCAATGATAGCCAGAAGATGCACCGATAAGATTTATTTATAACGTACATGTGTGCATTACTAAATTGTACACGCAGGGGCTATAATAAATGTAATTTCCACAATACAGACAGTTTTCCTTCAATGCACACTCACATTGCCACAGCAATTTACCTCTGTAGTATTACCACCTTCTGCTGTGTGGTTATTTATTTTTTTAAATAGGTTTTCTAAGGATATATTATTCATTGTAATGAGATACTGTTTTCTTTTAAATTTATATTAAAGATTTAGCAAATGACTCAGTCCAGTTCAGGGCACATATTATTGTTTGATTCCCCCTCCTCGCTGTATGCTTTCTCTATGCTGATTGGCAGGAGGAAAGGACAGAGTATTAAAACAATGTTTGCAGGAAGCTAAGATGGAGGTGTCCAATTGCACGATGAAGAGATGTGTAATTTTATTTGCCTCACCTCGCAAACACATTTGTTAAATACAGGGACTAAACATGATATTTACATTTGTTAGGGATTTACTTTTTGTGTTTGATGTGAGGATTTTAATCATAACCTCCCAAACTTAAATGTTATACAATATCTTTGAGGGGGCTTTGCAGTAGAAAGCAGGAAGTAAAGTAACGAGGAAGAGAATATAATGTATATGTACACATACCAAGTTGTGTTTCATGGCTGTAGAGCAAAGCATGCATTACACTAAAAATAGGCGATAAAATGTTTCTGCTTTTAGAATTTGTTCCTTAAAGAAACAGTACGCTTGGAATGCGAAGAACGCTTTGAGCTGACCGAGGCTTTGACCCAGGCTCGAGAACAACTGCTGGAACTAAAGCAAGCTAATGGAAGCTTTCTATCATCATCATTATCATCACAAAGATCATTTACTGCAGAAAGGCCTAAACTAACTCAAAGGACAAGTAATATGGACCATAAACATCCTCAGAGTCTGTCATCCAATAAGGGAAGCAGACTAGTGAGCCTCCCAGGTAACAGCTTGGTTTCAAACAAGCATTTACAGAGCAGTAGTAGCAGCTTGCCTTCATTGCCATCACCGTATCCAAAAAAAGAAAGGGCGTTTTCACTCACTGATGCAAAGCCAAAATTAACTGCAGTTCTCAGAAGCCAATCTACTCAACAATGACATTATACGTATGCATTATATTATATTGTAATATTATAACTCTGGAAAGAGCAGCCATATCTGTGTTGTCCGAACTCTTTTTCACAGTGTGCACAGAATCCAGCTTGGACCCCTAAGGGAATTTACTTATCGATTTTATTAACTGGACATCTCTTGTGCAATTTAATATATTTTAAATATATTTTAAATACAATTTTAAAAGTAAATGCAGGGGCTATTTTTTATTATATAATTCCTTTTTGTGAAATTTTTCCTTGATTTAGTAGGTTTTGAATTACCAACTTATGGAGCTTTTCTGAACCCACCTGCACCTCTACCTCTAGCGGTCTGTTCCTGGAAAGTTGTGTGACCACCTAGAAGTAATTATTGTTAGATTTTTATTTATTTATTGTTAATACTAACTTAGCAGTAACTTTACATGTATGTGTAAGAAACAATTATGTAGGCGACCGGAAATCCCTCAAGTGGCTGTCTGGTAAAAAGTTTCTTAAAAACTGCAGTAATTACCTGCTTAGGGTTAACGGACATGGGACAGTGCACCCAGACCACTTCAATGAGCTGAAGGGGTCTGAGTGCCTATAGTGTCCCTTTAAACAGATACTTGGCCATATGAATGGGACATATCAATATTCCACATCACTTGTGTCACTCCTCCTACATTACTTGCCTTTTACAAAAGTAAACCCTTATATACTTGCTAATAAACCCAGGTACACGCATCTCAGTTGCAACCCTTTACAATGATACAGTCAAAGGAGAACTTTTTTTATAATTCTTTATTTTTGGTGCGTAGCGAATTATACAGGAGCTCGCCTTGTCACAACAACAAGTACGGGCACATTCGTGATAGTACTTTATAACATTTATCACACAGTGCATGAAGTTTGCAAGAAACTAGTACAACATTACAGACATTACACACATTTTTTATAAATGTAGTAGGGTTGTAGCCCCGGTTGAGGAGTCGGTGCATAGTAACGTATTTAGGTTGTGTGATGGTAATCCTCTACCAGGTCGATGTGAGGCAGTATGTGTGGGCTAGTTAAAGTGAGTGGATGCAGAGTTTTAACATACTGGGTGTTTGTTAGTAACGAGTGAGTGACGTGAGGGTGGTTGTAGAGTGTTGGTTTGTAGCTGCGTGGCTCATGAGGGTTGAGTGTGAGGTATTCGTTGGGTAGCCGGAGTAGTGGAGTAGGTGGTGTCAGGCGGGCTATGTGGTTCCCAAAAGAGGTACATGCCCCTAACCAAGGGGGCGTCGGGGGGGGTTGTACACCTCTGGTGGGTGTGCCTAGTGTGTATGTACCTTCGAGACAGGGCTTAAGCTGCTCCCAGTAGGGCCTGGCCATGGAAGGTATGAGAACCAAAAGGGTAACATGTTAGTATTGTGGAACAGAGAACTAAAGCGGAAAGTACAGATATATAACATAGATTAACTGTTGCAGATTGCTTCCCAACGTGGGGCGGTGTCTTCTCCCTTATCAGTCAGGTGGCTGGTGTGGGTTTTGGCGTGCTTCTTGGCACAAATGGTACTGTTGCTTCTGGGTCCCAGGCTTGGGTAGGAGGTGTAGTAGAGGTGGTCGGTGTGGCGTCTGGAAGGCCCAGAGCCTGGAGCAGCGCTCCTGCTTCCGATTCAGCTGAGAGCTTGTGAACAGTTCCATTATGGGATACAAGAAGGGATCTCGGTGTCCCCCATCTGTATGCTACTCCCGCTGAGCGTAGGTGGCTAGTGAGGGGTGCCAACGATTTGCGCCATTGTAGCGTGGCCTTGGTGAGATCCTGGTAGAATGTTAGATGCGAGTTTTCGAATGACATTGGGGTCTTGCCCTTCACTGCTGTCATGATGTAGCTTTTGTCTTGGGGTGACAAGCACTGAATAATTACATCGCCCGTGATTGGGGTCGAGGTCTTGGTGATGGTAGGTAGGCGGTACAGTCCAGCCATGGTGAACTTTTTGGCTAGGGCCGCAGGTAATAGCGTGGCAATAAGCCTCCTCATGTAGTGGGGTAATTCCTCCGTTGTTATCGTGGGGGGTACCCCTCTGACTTTAACATTGTTGCGGCGGTGCCTGTCTTCCTGCGCGATTAGTTGTAGCGCCATGTTGTGCTGTGCAGTTTGGAATTGGTGCATTGTGCTTTGCATTTCTGTTAGTTCACCGCGTATTTTTCCCATGTCCCCTTCAGCAGCGGTCGTCCTCTCACTGATCTGTCTCATGCTTGATTTTAGGGTAGCCATGTCTGCAGTGAGGAGCCTCTGTATTTCTAGCAGTGTATTCTGCATGTTATGTAGGTCCTGCTTAGTGGCAGGGGCTGTCCCCCCAGGGATGTCTGTGGAGATAGTCTGTGCTTCCCCTTGTGTTCCTGGCATCGGGCTGGGGGTCAGATTTGGCACATCTGGGGTTGTTGGGAGGTGTGGGCCTTCAGGGCCGTCTGTGGTCGCCATTTTGGTCGGTACTTGCCTCATGAAAGTGCCGATGTCCCGCTGCTCCGTGTTGTTGCCAGGCTGTGGCTTCTGGGATCTGCGTCCCATTGCTGGAGGTTGGTGTGTGTGTGCAGGGATGCGGCAGTCAGGCGTCTCAGCAGCACTGTACAGGCTCCGGTTGCTGAGGAGCCCCTCGAGGTAAGCGGGCGCCTGTGGGAAGTAGGCCCCAGACTTGCGTTTCAGCTTCCCCTGTTGTGGGGAGTATAGGAACGGCATCAATGGGTGCTGCGGATGATCCCCAGTCCGTTCTTGCAGGTATTGGAGCGGGATGGGTCCGATAAGCAGGGGGATTGTGTTGGATTTCGCTGCTTTGTCGGGAGCTACCAGAAATGGCGTCTCTCCTGTCTCGCGGTTAGGCTCCGCCCCCAAAGGAGAACTTTTATCTCCCCTTCCAAACTACAGCATATTACAGCACCTCAATGGATCCTTGTCCTAAAGTATTTTCTTGCTGCCCTTATTGGGAGCTGACAATATACATCAAACCTAAAAATGTCACTAAATAATGCAAGTATAGAAATATTGTAATTTCCTGATTTTCTAGTACTGCGGCTTTAAAGTAAGTTGTCATTACATACACATATAATTATTATGTTATTATTATTATTATGTTATTATTTATATAGCGCCAACAAATTCCACAGCGTTTTACAGTGGGTGGACGAACAAACATGTATTGGTTACCAGACAAGTTGGACACACAGGAACAGAGGGGTTGAGGGCCCTGCTCAATGAGCTTACATGCTAGAGGGAGTGGGGTAAAGTGACACAAAAGGTAAGGATAGTGTTAGACTAATAACAGTTGCAAGAGAGGAATCAGTCGCGAGCTATTAACAGTTTAATTGATACACTTGTTTTTAATGATTATTTTGTGGAGACTGGGTGAGCATCTAACTGAGGAGGGAAGTGAGTTCCACATGAACGGTGCAGCCCTCGAGAAATCTTGAAGGCGAGCATCCGAGGTGGGAGTACGGACAGAAGATAGACGTATGTCTTCAGCAGAGCGTAAGGGCCTAGACGGGACATACTTGTGTATTAGGGAGGATAGATAGGTGGGAGCAGCATTATGTGGAGATTTGAAAGCAAGAACCAGAATTTTCAATTGAGCCCTATATCTTACAGGAAGCCAATGTAGGGACTGACCGAAGGGTGAGGCGTGGGCGGTGCGGGCGGACAGGAAGATACCACACATGCTCCAAGTCACACATTTCTTGTTGACACTGCTTGGCTAAGCCAAAAAAAGCCATGCTAAGATATGTTTATGTACACATTGAACTTTAGACCTGATACTTTTTGCTCTTGTTTTTTTTTAGTTCATCTCTGGAAAAGCATGTGACTGTTTAAATGAAAAAAAATATATATAAATAAATATATATATATATATACTTTTATTATTTTTTTTTTAGTTTAGTTTATCATTCCAATGCAAGGTGTGTAATGAAGAAATTGCAAGTATAGCTTGGAGCAAAGAAAGAATGGTGCTGGCAATGGCATGATTGTCGTATATAAATATCTTAAGGTATTTTTTTTATTTCAGAAACAGGTTACCTAGAATAAGTGTGACTATTGTCAGATTTATGATGGTAATTTTTTAAAATTTGTTTTAAATGCAAGCGTTGCGGATGCATTGGATAGCTCTCCTGCAGAGTTTGTCAAGGATAAATTGGTGAAAAGAGATCAAGACGGTTTGAGATGGGTATACTACTGCCCTGAGCAGAAAAACAAAGCCTGTGAATTTGTTATTTTATTTTTTTCCGTTAGGGCATGAGCAGAGTAAATGTGCCAACTGCCATTTATTTGCCAACAATGATGCTTCTAACTCAAAAAAACACCATCTAATTAAAGGTAATGCTAAACTCATCTTTTATGTCAGTAGTAATAGTTCCAAGTAGTATTTCAAGCAGGAATACAATGCTGCACCACTTCATTAACAGGTCACTTTGTGTCCCCCACAGCTTTAGTAGTTGAACCCTGTCACTAGAGAAATGCTTCTATAATACCTTAAGCCAGTCTTATGGTAACTATGTTCCATACGGAACACATACAGAAACTTAGCAGTACTGACATTGTTGATGCCTGTCAGACAGTGTAGGTGCTGATCAGAGATCCCACTAATATATGTATATATATTATTTATTTATTTTATATTTTTTTTTCAAGACTTGTTCTGAATTAGTTTGGAAAAAGAAACACCTGTAAATTTGCAAAGGGTACTTGGCGCAGTGCATGCTTAGTTTGTTTTGGTGGTAGACCACACACAAATTATATCCGAAGGAACATTGTGTTTATGTGAGGTTTTCTTTAGAAATTACCCCCAAGGTAATGAAAAAAATATATTAAATTGTTTAATTGTTTCTCTCTTACAAACAAGATTGAGTGTTGATTGTTCTAAAGGCTTGGCAGTCATTGCTTCTCCTGAGACATGGGCCTGGCTTTATGCATTCTTTATTATGCTATGCAATTTTTACTTTTTTTTTTTTAAGTTTATTTTTCCCATAGTTAATTCCACATTGTGGTATGAGATT